CTTCCGATCTGGCAGCATCCTTTCCACCCCAAACCACAACAGCCCAAAGAACAACCCCAAACCAGACCACCCCAGACCCATCGGGGACCCCCCCTCACCGGCAGGGAGTGCCCCTGGTTGGCCCTGACCCTCAGGGGGTCCGGCCGGAGGGCGAAGCGACCCTTGGGGTCAGCGGCCACCACCCTGCGCACGTCGGCCTCCGAGACCCCCGCGAAGCGCCGCAGCCGCAGCAGAGCCCCCACCTCGACAAAACCGTCTGAGACCCCCAAAACCCCCCCGGGACCCCCGTCAGGGCCTTTGGGGGGGGGCTCAGGGGGCATTTGGGGTGGCCCAGGGGCGTTTTGGGGATTTTGGGGGGTCCAAAATGTATTTGGGGTGTCTCAGGGGGTATTTTGGGGGTCCCAAGGGGTGTTTTGGGGGTCCCAAAAGGTACTTGGGGTGTCTCAAGGAACATTTTGGTGATTTTGGGGGATTTTGGGGAGATTTTGGGGGAATGTTGGGGGGATTTTGGGAGAATTTTTGGTGGGGGACATTGGGGACATCGAGGGGACGCTGGGGGACATTGGGCACATGGGGCCAGCAAATATGGGGGGCACGCTGGGGACAGAGTGGGACATTGGGGACATCGAGGGCAGAGCGTGGGACATTGGGGACACCGGGGGGACATTGTGGACACATTGGGGACGGGGGGGAACATTGGGGACAAAGGGTGGGATGGGGACACTGAGGATGAGAGGACATTTGGGGGGGACAGGAGGACATTTGGGGACACTGGGGATGGGGGGGAGGACACGGCAGGGACATCGGGCAGGACAGGGGGACATTGGGAACTCTTGGGGACATTTGAGGACACGGACACGGCGGGTGCCAGGAGACACCGGAGGAGGGGGCACAAAGGGATTTGGGGACATTTTGGGGGACATTTGGGGACCCCCCCACCCCAGAGTGGCAGAAGCCGCCGGCGCAGCGCCAGCGCGAGCAGCTCTTACTGGAGGAACTGGTGGCACTGGTGAACCGGCGGGACCGGCTCGTGAGGGACCGGCACCGCCGCGAGAGCAGGTGGGGACACCGGGGGACACCGGGGAGGGGTCCGGGGGGGGTCCTGACCCCTTCGCTCTCCCCAAACCACCCGAGGGGACCTCCCCAGTCACCCTGCTCCAGGAAAGGGGCTGGGTTCATGGGACTCCCGTCTCTGACCTCCTTTCTCCAGCTGATGCAATCCAAGGGATGAAGGGCAGGCAGGACACACGACTCACGCAAGGAGAGGGAGTTTAACTGAATGAAGGAGAGTAGCAGGGCAAGGTTTCTGAGACATCACTGAGAGTACCACCAAAAAACCCACATATTCTGTGTGGGTGGCTCAGTCAAGCAAGGGCAGCCTGGACATTTATATCATCACTGGGAAGGAAAGCAAACAGGACTACCAGGAAAAATGCCACTGATCTGGCTCCCACTGCTGTCCTGTGGCACCCACACAGGTACAGAGGAGCAGGATTTGCATCCCAGCTGGACTTGCCACACTCTGGAGTGAGCCCAGAGTCCTTCAGTGGGGCAGAGGTAAGACTGAGCATCACTTCCATGTCTGGCTGGTGCCATCCAGCTTTGTATTCCCACAGCCAGGCTTTATGGCTTTATGGCCACTGCTCTCCCACACAGACATTCACCTTCCCCTGCACCTCCTCGAAGGCTCCAAACCCCTCCAGCAGCAGAGGATGGTATTTGGCTTGGCCACGTGGCTCTCCAAACAGCACGGTGGTGCCAAGATAAAATTTCCTGTGGTGCTGCTCACACAGAGCCCAGGGAGTGTCTCTTTGGGGAAAGATATTGGATAAACTCCAGGCTGGGTGGGATCCAGCCCTGAGCAGAGCCCATGGGGGGTCTGAGCTCATTGTCTGAGCCCCACCCCCACATGTGGGAGATGCAGGAGCATCGATGACATTGGAGACAGGCACACCTGGAAGGGAGCTGGGCTGCATCACGTGAAGAAATAGCTCCAAGGGGGGCAGAGAGGCAAATGAAGGTGATGAGAGCTGCAGTGGGGTTGGGAACTCTATCCAAAACCTTGGGGTGACAAGATCTCCCCATAGATCTCTTCAGTCTGCACAGGGATACTTTCAGGAGAAAAGAGTATTTGGCAGACAAATGTATTGGGAAGAGGGTGGGGGAGGCTTGGAGGTCTCGAGGAGGATTTGAGGGGTCCTAGAAAGGGATTCGGGGAGGCTTTGGGAAGGATTTGGGGGGGTCCTTGGGGGGGTTTAGGGGGTCCCTGCTGAGTTTGGGGAGTTTTTGGGGTGCCCTGGGTTTGTTTTTGGGGAGGGGTCGCACATCAGGGTCCACCCTGCCAGGTGGGTGCGGGGTTTGGGGATCTCAGAGGGTTTTGGGGTGTCGTGGGGTTTTTTTTTGGAGTGTCCGGGGGGGCTTTTGGGGTGTCCCGAGGGGTTTTTTGGGGTGTCCCGGGGGGTTTTTGGGGTGTCCCGAGGGGTTTTTTGGGGTGTCCCGGGGGGGTTTTTTGGGGTGTCCCAGGAGGGGTTTTGGGGTGTCCCGGGGGGGTTTTTTGGGGTGTCCCAGGAGGGGTTTTGGGGTGTCCCGGGGGGGTTTTTTGGGGTGTCCCAGGAGGGGTTTTGGGGTGTCCCCAGAGGTTTTTGAGGTGTCCCGGAGGAGTTTTTTCGGGGTGTCCCGAGAGATTTTTGAGGTGTCCCGGGGGCTTTCTTTTGGGGTGCCCCGGGGGGAGTTTTTTTGGGGTGTCCCGGGGTTTTTTTTTTGGGGGGGGGTCACTCACCGCTGCGCACCCCGGGGTCCCCCGGCAGCCCCCCCGCCAGGTGCAGGTGTTGCCGCCCCATGGGGCGCAGCCCCCCCGCCCGGATCGGGCCCCACAGGCGGCGCCGGGTGCCGTGGGCGAGGGTGGGGGGCAGCGCCCCGGGGGTGCGCAGGGGGGTCAGCTCCAGCTCCGGCACCTGCGACCCCCGGACACGCCCCCCTGGAGCAGCCGCGACCCCCGAAATCCCACCCCGGATTTCCAAAATCCCACCCCGGATCTCCAAAATCCCTCCCCGATCTCCAAAATCCAACGCCGGATCGCCAAAATCCCACCGGGGATCCTCAAAATATCATCTGGATTTCCAAAATCCCACCCCGGATATCCAAAATCCCACCCCGGATATCCAAAATCCCACCCGGATCTCCAAAATCCCTCCCCGATCTCCAAAATCCAACCGGGGGATCCTCACCGGGGATCCTCAAAATATCATCTGGATTTCCAAAATCCCACCCCGGATATCCAAAATCCCACCCCGGATATCCAAAATCCCACCCCGGATCCTCAGAATCTCATCCCGGATCACCAAAATCCAACCCAGGATTCCTCAAAATCCCACCCCGGATCCTCAATATCCCACCGGGGATCACGAAAATCCCACCCCGGATCACCAAAATCCCACCGGGGATTCTCCAAATCCCACCCCGGATCCTCAAAATCCAATCCAGGATTCCTCAAAATCCCACCCCAGATCACCAAAATCCCACCAGGGATCCTGAAAATCTCATCCCGGATTTCCAAAATCCCTCCCGGATCCTCAAAATCCCACCCCGGATCACCAAAATCCAACCCAGGGTTCCCCAAATCCCGCCTGGGACACCCAAAATTCCACAAATCACACCCAGAATGCCCAAAATCCCTCTCCAGATCCCCCAGTCCTCTCGAAGACATCCCCAAAATCTCCCATAACCCCCCCCAAAACCCTCTCCAGCCTCCCCAATCCCCCATAAATCCCCCAAAATCCCCCCTAAATTCCCCAAAAATGACCCTCCAGGCCTCGCCAATCCCTTTGGGACCCCCCAAATCCCCCCAGTCCCCCATAAATCTCCCAAAATTCCCCATAAATCCCCCAAACCCCTCTCCAGCCCCCTCCCAATCCCCCATAAACTCCCCAAAATCCCCCCAAACTCCCCTCCAGCCCCCCCAAACCCTACTGGGCCCCCCCATATCCCTTTCCAGACACCCCAATCCCCCATAAACCCCCCAAAATCCCCAATAACCCCCCCAAAATCCCCATAAACCCCCCAAATCTCTCTCCAAACCCCACAAATTCCCCCAAAATTCCCCTCCAACTCCCCCAAACCCTCTGGGACCACCCCAAATCCACCATAAAGCCCCCAACCCCCCCCCAAATCCCCTCTCCAGCCTCCCTAAACCCTCTGAGACCACCCCAAATCCACCATAAACCTCCCAACCCCCCCCCAAATCCCCTCTCCAGCCTCCCCAAACCCTCTGAGACCACCCCAAACCCCCCAAATCCCTCTCCAGGCCCCACAAATCCCCCCAAAATCCCCCCAAATCCCTTCTCCAGACCCCCAAAATCCCCCATAAACCCCCCAAATCCCC